CGCCATGGCCACCGCCAAAATTGCTTGCTCGTTCAAACGGACATTCTGAAAATTCGGAAGTCCCCCATGTTTTTGTGGACACCATAGACTTCCAGTCATTTTGACCGAACCTCGGGGTACCCTCAGCTTGGTCTTGGGACTCCAAAGGAGAACCGACATGTGTCCGGTCCCCGAACGGATGCATCTGTTTTGATCTTGAGCACCTCATAGGGCCGCAGCGGCAGGTACCGGCACAGCGGCTCCTCGCGGTGGGCTTCCAGCGTGCGGGAAGCCCCCAACGACACCTGCGGGGTTTCCGATGGCACCCCGATGGCCCGATGGGGTTGGAAACACAACAGCGTGCTGGAAGCATCGGTGCATCGCTTTTTGACTCAAAGCTCCCAGTGAGACGCGTCATTTTGGGTGCGAAAATCACTCCTCTCAGAGGCTGATTTTGATTGGGGTGGGGTGGCGCTATTGTAGCAATATATGTTGCACGAAGATGTACACAACTTTCCACGTTTGAACAGTTGCTTCATTCGGGTAAGGTCGGAAAAGGACTTCACAAAAGGACCCGAAATGCATGCCTACGCAGGGTGAACACTGGCGCAACAGTGAGCTGTCAAGACCTAGAGCTCCTGCCGATTCCGTTCGGCTGCACTGAAGTTGACCCAATCTTGGGGACCCGGGAAGCTTGGCATTGAGCATCAGCTCTCGGCGCCCGGTGACTCCCAAACCCGAGGGACAATGGTATACAACCAACATATGGGCATGCATTTTAGCCGGGGACCCTTTGCTGGAGTTCATTGAAGTGGGGATTCATGTCCACCAACAACTTTTGAGGTGGTTCCCTTATTAAAAGTCATGGCGACTCTCGCCATTCTGGGTTTCAGGTTATGAGGTCCCTGCCACACGGGTAGACCGGTAGCTGAAAAGGGGAAGCCAAAGGCACCAGGGCAGTTTTCTCATTCCTTGGATCCTCCTCAAGCGCCCCAACCGATTCTTTCCATTTCTTTCTGGAACCTCAATATGTTTACTTATTTACAGTATTCCTTTCTTTATTTTTACTTTTTTTTGGGGGGAGGGCTTGGTGGAATGTGGAAACAACGGTTGTGCCAACCTCTTTCAACATGCTTCAACCACATATTCTTGCGAAAACAAAACCCTCCTGAAACAATCTCTAAAATGTCTCTTACCCCTTTTAAGGGGCGCCCGGCTGCCTAGTGGTTTTTAAGAGGTTCAGAAGTGCATCTCTCTCCCCTTTACTTGGGTTTGTCTGGAAACATAGGGGAATCCGGTAAAACGGACTTGGTCTCCCTCTTCCTTTAAACCCAAAGCCGGCTGCTCGCGCCGCTCGCACCACGTTCCCTCCAACTCGGATTCGCCTCGTTGCGGCCAATCGCCACCGGCACCGGATCTCCGGGCTCCACCTCCAGCTGCCAGACCCACCAGGGCACTTGGCACCTTGCTGACTCATTGGCACGCAGAAATCCGAGAAAACAAAAAAAACAACTGCCCATGTTTTACCCAAAACCCATGGCCGAATTCCCCCAACCAATAATTACCCCGAAAAAGAACTGCCCACGTTGTTCTTCTTCCGAAAACCCAAGCCCTTCCTGGCCTACCTCAACCGATACCCCTAGAAATATTGTCCCAGCTGGCTCGGCCTCAAACCTTGCTTTCTGCATGCCTGAGAGCTGCCAGGCTACCCTTGAGGCGGTGTTTCACTGTGACAGGTCCTGAGTTGGACGCTTGTCAGGCAGCTACAGAAGTTCACCAAGAGGAACGCGGAAAAGGGACCACGGCGTGGAGACGCTGGGGTGTAAAATAGCCTGGCATTTTAACGGCTTGGTTGTTTCTGAATCAGTCCGGTATAGTGTTGACTCCTAAAGTCTGCAAAGCGTTGTCCTTTCACAGAAGCAGCTCGCCAGTTTTACACCCAGAAGTCACTTGCCGGTCAATGCCCATGTCTCCCAGCGCCCAAAAGGATCATGACCACCGGAGAATACGACTACTCTCGTGGAAAATCCCACGCAAAAACACTTGCGCGACGCGAGCCTTTGACCCTGTTTGCACTTATAGGCAACCAGTTTCCAGAGCATGATGGCGTTGACCTCTTTTGGTTGCTCAAATGGGCTTGTGAACCACGTTTTGGATGCTTCTTACAGCTCAGCTGGTGCTCGAATATGTGGAAAGCAAGCTACTGGGTAGCACTTCTTGAACTCATGATAGGCACGACAGAAAGCGTTTGAAGTCTCAAGATGGTTGTGCCCACCCCCAAATCACAACGCATATGGGGTGTATTTCCCCTATCCTTACAAAGGGCACATAGTATACATCCTGGCGAAACCTCTGAGCAGCTCACTTCTGGAGGTCCTGCACATCCAGTTGCCATCGGGATGAGCCGGCATCCTTGACGACCGTCATGAAGCTCGGCAACCAATGCCGGTGGAGAAATCGGAAGTCTGGACACTGCAAAACTAGACATCCTTTTCGCATAGAGAATCATCGTGGGCTGTGTTGCACCCAACGCAACTCATGCAACTCATGCAACTGAAACTCTCAAATGCCCGTCCGGTCAGTGGGTTGTTGCTTCACCTCTCAACAGCTGCGAATGACATGTGGCGCGGCTTTGAGCTTTGGGCATGAATGGATCGCCCTTCCTTCCCAAGGTGTCAAAATGACCATGTCACATGGGCCTATGGTCAGGGCTCATGGCCTATGGGGCTCATGAGGGCTGAACATGCCTGGCAGGCTGCATCGCTTTGAGCAACCCATCGGGCGAAAACAACAATTGCCGCGCGCTCGTGGCTGGCAGAATCTCACGTTACACAGGATGGAAACCCAGGTTGAAATTAATCTGAAATCCCTGATTGATTAATTCCGGGGGGGGGTCTTTTCACTTTTGGAGGAAGCGCATCTGATTCATCCGCAAGGCTTGCGTTGACATTAGGCGAGGCAGCAGGCAGCAAGCTTTTCACTCATTGCTCTGGCCACAGGCCACGAAGGTCAAACCTTGCATGGCCATGTGCAACGCCTCCATGCCAGCTGGTTGTGGCGGTCTTGGAAAAAAAGAGTAAAAATAGGACAAGCCGAACCTGTCAGACAAGCTGTGTGTTCATTGACTAACTTGAGGTGCAACAAGCCACCAGCACCACTAGGAGCTGGCAGACGTGCGTGAACATGCGTGAAGATGCGACGGCCGGAGCCAAACCTTTCCGGCTCGGCTGCACGGCTGGTTGACTCCAACCAACACTACCGCGCACTTTGGCCACTTCCCAGTGGTCCATCCAAGTATTCCATCCCAGGGTGCGAAATGAAGCTCTGATTTGACCGCCATAGGCACTTGAGGCCAACGGATCTTTGGCAGCAAGCCTTTTTGCTCATTGCAAAAAGGATCTAACCTGAAACAACTGAATTGATCTCTAACTTGAGGCTCGGCTTACCTCTCACCTGTAACTTGAGGATTGGATTACAACCTCTGGCATTGACGCCAGGGCTTGCCCTCTGCATATCCCCAACTCAAGGGGCAGGCCCCAAGGTGAAACCGTGGCCTTTCCGCGCCCTAGGCTTGCACTGAGCACCATGGCGGTTTGGATTGTGCCAAGGTTCCCCAAATGTTCCCTTTCGCATCACCCCACCTGAAGGAAACTCACTTTAAATGGGCCCAACAAAACAGATGCGCGGCTCTATGCTTCTTTTAGAAAAACATGATCAAATTGGCAAACTGGCCCAAGAATGTTGTGTGTTCTCCATATTTCCTCGCCCAAATGCGGAAACCGCCAGGCAACGAGCTCGCGCAGCGGCCCAAGAAAGGCATCAGGCGGCGCTAGTCAAACAGCATTCCAGCCTCCCAGGAAAATCCGTTGCATGACCATGGAAGAAGGGAATTTGAATCCTTTTTTAAGGATTGACAGCATTTTTTTGCCTGAAGGGAAACAGGGTGCCGCTGAACATTGGAATCCTTGAAGCATCCTCTCCCCCTCGCCGGACAAACAAAACAAGAAGAAAATCCCTGAATGGCTGGCGCGAAAGCCCTTCTCTGAGCCCAAGCATCTGAAACCTGGAACTTGCTGATTTTGTTTCCCTCTGCTTGGTGCAAACAAACACGCCTCTTGGTGCAACAAACACGCCTCTGCTATGAGACTGCCTCTAAACATAGCCTCAACATCATCCCTCAAGCACCCGCCAAATGCTTCCAGCCTCAGCTTGGCACCAATGTCCGGCCCTTGGCAGGCTGAAATTGCGCGAACTGCCGTCACCAAATGCGTGCGTGCGTGCGTGCCTGCATGCCTGCGTGCCTGCGTGCCTGCGCCCCTGCGTGTGTGTGTGTGTGTGTGTGTGTGTGTGTGGGTGGGTGGGTGGGTGCGTGCGTGCGTGTGTGTGTGTGTGTCTCTGGTTTCCCTTTCAACCAACTACGCAAAGGGTACCCTCCAAAAAACCCATGCCCAAACTGTGAGCACACCTGCAACGGTCTTTTGCAAATCGCCCCCTAGTCTCAGAGTGTCAGGTCACGGGTCCCGGGTCCCTTTTCAGTGGGGATTCCTAGGTCACGCTAACAAAACTTTGGGGTTTCATGACTCATTTCTCAAACATTGGGCCACCAGGCGATTAACCCGGGACCCCTTCCCCTATGCATTTCCTAGAATGTGGGCACCAGGGAAAGAATGCCAGGGGGGGGCCACGCGTTTTTTCTCTGTTTGGCGTGGGGACGGGAACGCCGCTTAAAATGGCTTGATCCTTTGAGCAAGCAATATACTGTGTGTGGGCAAACTCCTGCACTTGGGATGGATGAACTCCCATGACTGGGATAAACCGCCTACCAACTGGCGCAGCATTTCGTCCATGCACAGTACTGTCAACCCTGGATTAATCAACCCCTGGATGATTAATAGGGGGGTGTCCCCTTTTCGTGGGGATTCATCACTTTTGGAGGGAACACCCCCCTAATAATGGGACGGGTTTATAAATCCTGGGACAACATTGGGACCTCCAAAAACCTGAGCTTTCTGCCATTCACAGCCAACTTCGTCTTCGCATGCCTCCATCCGATGCGCCTGACCGTCCAGGACTCCCCAGAAAGACTGATGTGCAGTCCTCGAAAACGGATCCAAAAAAACCACAGCACCCCCCGAACCTCAGGTTTCATATGGGAGGGTATCATTTGTTGAAGACCCTGTGGTGCACATCCTTTTGCATAGGGATTTCTGTATCCATTTCCCTTGGCTTCCGCGCTCCGCGTTCAAATCTCAGGGAAAAGATCAACAGGTCTCTTGCGGCTTCCCAGATCCACATGGGACGCCATTTCTATCTGAGCCACATCTCTCATATATGGGTGTGTCTTTTTAAAGGTTGGACCCATGAAATAGGTGGCTTTCTTTTTGGCCTCCCTTTCAACTCCCCCCCTCCCAAAAAAAAGGGCACCCTAAAGAAGACACACCTATATGGCCTTGCTGCCCAAACTCCAGCAATTTTACCCTTCGTCTCTGGGTGTAACAGCAAACAACTATCTTCAACCACAACAACTTCCCATTCAGACTGCCAGAGCTAGTGGAAACGACGCAGTTTCTCGAGTACACAAACAGCACCAACTGTCGTAGGATCCCCACCCCCCTTCCCGTATCCTCCCCTTTCCTTCAAATAAGGCCTGGTCAGGGTCGTATCCTGGGGAAACCAAAAAAGAGGGGGTTCTCAAGAGACCCTGAAATGATGATTCTCCTACAAATACCCATCAACAATGGTTTCCCATGGCTTCAATTTGGTGCGAAATGGATTTCGCAACCATCCACAGTAAAGCTGCCATTGGGGCCGTTTCTGCCATTCGAAAGCTGCTGCCTCGCTGGCGCAATGCCCGTAGCACTCGCAGTAGACCTCCTCGTAGCGGCTGCAGCGGCAAGGCCTCACAGCCAAGCCCCCTTCTGAGGGCATGCTTGAGCCACCCCAGTGATTCCATTTACCTTTATTAATATACATATATATATATATATATAGTCGGCATCCAAGGGCTTGCCACCATTTAAAAACCAAATGGAAAATGGCTGGCTACTATACTGATAACTAGGTGGGATCCACTGGGATTGCTTAAACATGTTTAAACAACCTCCTCTTGGTGGTTGCTTGAAGGAACAAGCGCCTTGGCTGAGCTGTTTCAACAAGTGTGGCAACCAACCCTGCATCTGACAAACAGTTCCTATCTTCAAGATTTGCGATGGCTTAAGACTTGCCTGTCTGCAAGCCTGCCAAGCTGTGATAATACGCACATACCAAAAGTCGGGTTTGACTCCAAGTGGAGACCCCAAAAATGGATGGTCTCCCTTTGTTTCCGTAACAACACAGGTGCCTAAACTCAGAAACCAAACAAATGCCACGGTTCACAACCATGAAACCGACATGCCGTCGGTTTCCAATCTGAGCATGCAGCCCAAGAAGACCTTCGCACACCTGCACCGAACGCCGTCTACACGCCGGCCGATTTGTTTCCAGTTGTTCTGGTGTCAGAAGCCGAAGGAATCAACATGGTGAGGCCAACCTCTTGCTTGAACATGTTTAAACACCACATGCTTGGACAGCCTCCTTTTGGTCTCCCTAAAAGAGACCAGGGTCCAGGTGTTGAAACTAATCAACAACCAAAGGGTCTCCAACTCCAATTCACGTTCTCAGTTGCCTCTTGAATCGGCTTCCAAAGACATGGAAGTGCATAGGCTCGGTCTTGGAGGAGTCTACACAACACCGTAAAGGAATGCATGTTGTTAGTCGCAACTTATGGGTCGAGTCAAATGGCCTCCTAGACTTCATCCGCTTGTTGATTGTGCTATGGTGCTTGTTGAATCTCATAGGCAATGCTGATGCAATTATTGGGGCCCAAAAGAGGCAAAAACAGCAGAGAGGAAAAGAGGGAGAGAGAGTGAGAGAGAGCGAGAGAGAGAGAGGGAGAGTGTGAGAGAGGGAGAGAGTGAGAGAGGGAGACAGGGAAAAAAGAGAGAGAGAGAGAGAGAGAGAGAGAGAGAGAGAGTGAGAGAGAGCGAGAGAGAGAGAGGGAGAGAGAGGGAGAGAGTGAGAGAGGGAGACAGGGAAAAGAGAGAGCGAGAGAGAGAGCGAGAGAGAGAGAGAGAGGGAGAGAGTGAGAGAGGGAGACAGGGAAAAGAGAGAGAGAGAGAGAGAGAGAGAGAGAGAGAGAGAGAGAGAGAGTGAGAGAGAGCGACAGAGAGAGAGGGAGGAGTGAGAGAGGGAGACAGGGAAAAGAGAGAGAGAGAGAGAGAGAGAGAGAGAGAGAGAGAGTGAGAGAGAGCGAGAGAGAGAGAGAGAGAGAGAGTGAGAGAGGGAGACAGGGAAAAGAGAGAGCGAGAGAGAGAGCGAGAGAGGGAGAGGGAGAGAGTGAGAGAGGGAGACAGGGAAAAGAGAGAGAGAGAGAGAGAGAGAGAGAGAGAGAGAGAGAGAGAGAGAGAGAGAGAG